TCAATTACTCCACTGGCCTCACTCCGTTCCCACGACTCTCGGCCCCGCCCCACTCGACACAGTATGTTTTTGAAGTGGAGTATGAAATCAATTTGGCTTTTATTTCTGTTTAAAACCTCACAAGAAATATGAACCTAATGTTTATGATTTTTCAATAGAAATGTTTCCAGAAAGCTTCTTTGTGGGGTTACAGATAAAAATTCAGAGCTCAGTGTGTGATATCCTGTCAGATGAAGTTTTAATAAGAAGTGTTTTTTTCAGCAGTGTGATAAACCTCAAGAGATCTTCTGAGACACAGACGAAAGACTCATCTGTAGTGTCTAAGACGCCTTGAATGTTCTCTAGACTCCAGTCATCCATGACAAACCTCTTGACTCTGAGTGGAACAACCAAGGACTGCAAATTTCCACAAGTCACTTGCCTACCAAATAGTGAGCGATCACTTTCTGTATATACTTACACCCTTTATATACACTGAAAATGTAAAAGCAGTTCACTCAAAAATAAAAATTCTGTCATTATTTACATTCATGTCATTCAAAACTGTTATTTTCTTCTATGGAACACTGTATCTTCTATGCAATGAAATTGAATGGGGAATGGGGAAGTGAAAAGGACAACGATTCTATATTCAAAGACTTCTGAAGCTGTATTTTAGCTTTGTGTGAAGAACAGTCTGAAATTTAGTTTAGGATAGTTACAGTAAATCCTGCATGACAGGCTTGTGGTCACCATTCAGTTTTTGTATTTTGTATTGAACAAGGACATTCTGCTATAAATACCTCATTTTGTGTTCAACAAAAGAAAGCAAGCCGTACGGATTGCAAAAAATTTTAAATTTTTGGGTGAACTATCCCTTTAAAAGAGTAGTTTGCTTTCAGAATGAAAATTCTGTCATCATTTACTCACCCTCCAATTGTTCCAAACCTGTATGAATTTCTTTCTTCTGTTGAACACAAAAGAAGATATTTTAAAAATGTTAGTATACGAACAGTTGATCATCAGTTGATCAACATCAGCTGTTCATTCTGGAAGTGAACTGCTTTAGGTAATTAAAACCTGTGACAAAAGATCACATGTGTACCAAGTATTTGTGTTCTCACACATTTATAGCTACATATGCTGGACGGCTTTGAAAAAGCAGCATACCAACCTTGCAGCACCGCAAGTTAAGGCAATTTTTGGCTACTGCCTCGACTTGTTAATGCCCCTTCATGTATGACAACATCCAAGCAATATCCTACAGACATAACACCCCTTTGCAGAGCCCACGAAATGAAAAAACTGACCCACATACAGCCCCATTACCTAATCTTTTCCTGTTATTCCAACTTAACATTTGCAATACCAGATCTGGACAAAGGCCTCTCATGCCATGGATTTAAAATGACTCCCTTACATTACCTATAAAGCTTTCCTTTTGTGTTTAGTGTGATTTGTGAAATGTACACCATTCATTCTCTTCAAGGTGCCAGAAGCTGAGGTGCACAGCAGACATAATGTGATTAGTGTGAAGAATTTACAGTCTCTCAGGTAATAGGAAGCAAATTCTGCGTGGAGTAGGGGGCTGACCCACAGCGGCAGACAGCATGATCATGTAACTATTTATCTCTCTAAACTGTATATGCTTAAGTCTCTTAGAGGTCCTCAACATACTGAAATAACTCAAATTAAATAAAACTAAAACTTAATAAAAAGCCTATATAGACATAATAAAAAACGAATAAAATGACAACATTACTACAACTGTAACTAAAACTAAAATAGATAACTAATACAAATCAAACTACATTAGTTTATCAGTAATCCTAAAAAAAAATAACACTGAGCCAAACACACATGCTAAAATAAAATGTTGACCCTTATAGTGTCAGCGGGATACATGTATATTATGTATATATATTAGCACACTGCATTAGTATCTGTACATGTTTTATGGAGCATATGATGGATCATGTAGGCGTAAAAAAAGGAAGGACAAAATAAACAAAAAATTACAGGAGGTGTAACTTTAGGGTCATTTCATAAGAAAAAAATTTATTGTACTATGAAACTAGTACCTTTCATAATTCAAAATTTCTTGCCCAGCTCATTATAAAATCTTGCTTTTAAAAAAAACATATGACTGCTCACATTTCAAGCCTATTCCTAGTTAAGAAACTGGCCCGTCCAGTCACACAAAGACTTCAACTTTCACAAGAATGTGAGTTACCTTGATGATCGCGTTACCCTAACTTAAATTAGGCTACTAACTGAATAACAAAATGTAAATTCAGCACTAAAATGTTTGTATCACATTTGTAACATATTTAGACCCATTTAAATGATAAATATGAACTATTATTATTGCTATAGGCTATATAGGCCTTTCTAGTTTGCACAAAGTTTGGGAAAATAGGTAATTCCTGCCTTTCACAAAGTGTTGTACATGTTTTATGGAGCATATGATGGATCATGTAGGCGTAAAAAAAGGAAGGACAAAATAAACAAAAAATTACAGGAGGTGTAACTTTAGGGTCATTTCATAAGAAAAAAATTAATTGTACTATGAAACTAGTACCTTTCATAATTCAAAATTTCTTGCCCAGCTCATTATAAAATCTTGGAGCTTCTAAAAAAAACATATGACTGCTCACATTTCAAGCCTATTCCTAGTTAAGAAACTGGCCCGTCCAGTCACACAAAGACTTCAACTTTCACAAGAATGTGAGTTACCTTGATGATCGCGTTACCCTAACTTAAATTAGGCTACTAACTGAATAACAAAGTGTAAATTCAGCACTAAAATGTTTGTATCACATTTGTAACATATTTAGACCCATTTAAATGATAAATATGAACTATTATTATTGCTATAGGCTATATAGGCCTTTCTAGTTTGCACAAAGTTTGGGAAAATAGGTAATTCCTGCCTTTCACAAAGTGGTCATTTCTATGAGATATTCCTCAGCAGTAGGTTACTGCCAGTTAACTGCGAGTTAGCGTTTAATTTGTTTTATCTAAAAATACTGACATAGGGCCTATGTAAAAAAAAAATAGGCCTACTGGGTCAAGAAGGTAAATTAACGATCATTTTATTCGCGATCACAAACACTTCACGCACTCAGTTTACTTTGCACACTCTAGTTTGATAACTGTTCAAATTAGTGATGAGAATCGTGACATATGAAACCATTTTTTCAAGCGGAAAGAATGATTTCAAACAACCGATTCAGTGTTTTTCGCGCAATTACGCAATTACATTACCACTAAATATTTAAATAAAGCGATATTTAATTAAACAATGCAAAAGCGCAGGTTTTCCGTTGAACTAAAATAGTGTTTGTTTTTCATGTGTGCTTTTGTGCTTAATGGGATAGGTTCGAACAAGATTCTTAATTCATTGATTCAGTGAGTTGACTCGAGTCGAGTCGAATCGCTCTCCTGAATGAATCGTTCAGATTCATCTTTTGAACTGGTTCATTGAAATATCTGATTCAAAGGGAAGATTCGTTTACGAATCGAACATGGCTATAATAAATGATTTTTTTTTAAATATATGTGTTATTGCAGCAACTTCATTCGGTCTGAGTTTAAACAAAACGAAAAGATTGGTTGAAAGCGGTGTGGCTGTGGTCCGACAGCTGTGCGAATGAATCGTTCAGATTCATCTTTTGAACTGGTTCATTGAAATATCTGATTCAAAGGGAAGATTCGTTTACGAATCGAACATGGCTATAATAAATGATTTTTTTTTAATATACGTGTTATTGCAGCAACTTCATTCGGTCTGAGTTTAAACAAAACGAAAAGATTGGTTGAAAGCGGCGTGGCTGTGGTCCGACAGCTGTGAGCTCCCCCTTCACACCCTACTTTCCCAAATAGAAGGCTTCTCACGGCGAGTTCCTTGTAAGCCATACAGCCAAATTTGGCTCCCCATTTCAATTCCGTGAGCAGAGGCTGAATCAACTAAAACATACTCGAATTCCAGTCAGCTCAGAGACGCACAACTTCCCAGCTCCCTGTGTCTTGGTAGTGTCAGCTCTATAAATGGAGATTGCTTAGTGTACAGGCTTGTGTATTATAAACAACATTTCTCCAAATTAAAACTGACTCATACTGTCTCTACTTAATACCTACACGCGGATTTGGTAGTTTTGCTCCAAATACTTCAGTGATGGCTTTCCTGACAAGCTTTATCAGCATTAAGCGTCAATAATCTCGACGCTGAGAAGGTTCATGTTGAAGGCAACAAGTTTGGAGATCGTTTTTTTGGAGGATAAAGGACTTTGGAAACAGCTCTTTCATTGTTTAAAGGGTTAATCATTCATTCAGCTATCTTTGACAACTATGCGAAGAGTCCTTCAAGTGGACAGATAACAGGTCACAAATGTTCAATTGTTTAAAATATTTTTCTTGTTTAAGCTAGAATTTTTTTTATGTAATGTTTAATTTTTTTTTTTAGAATTTACTGTTTGCTTGATGATGCGTCCCCAGGTTATGCATCAAACCATTAAATTATGTAAACCATAAGTAAAAACAGTCATGACATCATCCTTTCAGGATATTATGAACTCTACAAGGACAAGTAAGTGTGTCTTCGTTTTTTTCCCAATATACAAATGATTTATTTATTAATTTAATTTAGCTTTAGATGGCACAGTGCAACATGAATGATTAAAATATTAAATTGAAAATGTAATTATATGTATTATATAATAAAATGTAAATATCAGGTTTCAGAATGTAAAATGCATAAACCTAAATGGTTAAATTAATCTGCACAGCGTCTGTATAGTTCACTATTTGTCTGTTTGTTGTACGTTTGATCTCGTTGCTTTATTCAATGCATTTCTTCTTATTTGATTAATTAAGTTATCTAACTCAATGTTGTACCGCTCTTCTTTTTTCTCCACTTTGTGAATTGTGCTCTTAGCTCCACCTCTATGGGAGTTTGTCACGAGTGGAAGAACTGAACCTCCTCCTAATACTCCTTCAATTAAGCTGGAGGGAGAGAAGGGGACAGATAGACGGAGGCTGTCTGTACCAGAGCGCTTGGAGAAATAACGACCAGACTGATACGCTTCACTAAGGCATGAGATTTGCGGAAGGCAGCATCTTCAGGAGGATTCTGCTCAAGTGCCACCTTTTGTTCTGAGAGAAGTTTTTATAAAGAAGTGGATTGTGACATATCGATTACAATGGGCTCCAAAAAGCACCGTTCAAAGACTTCAGCGTCTTCACACAACCCGAGCTGCTCTCCAATGGGACTTTCACTGTTGATTCTTCTACCTTTGTCTGTTGCCTTCAACTTGGATGTGGAGAACCCAGCGGTGTATACCGGACCGAACGGTAGTTACTTCGGGTACTCGGTGGACTTTTACATGACTGACTCAAGGTTGGTTTCCTTCTTTGATTTTACATATTGAAAGTAAAGAGACTTGGCGTGCATTCAAAGAAATGTACAACTAGACCCAAGTTCACTAATCATTGCCAACGTAGAGTTGTTTAATTATACGAACTAGACAATTTAAATGCTGTTTAATAACTTTAAATGCCACATATTAGTGTTTTTGTCCACCCTGCTATTGCTGTCTATCCTGCTGTGACTGCATTGATGTAATTTTTGCTCATATGCACTTTTATCTTACAAAATTCAGAAATTATAATGTACTGACACACCTCTGTGGCCTCAGAATAGGGTGTTTTACCACAGTATGATGTACAATGCATTAGTATGAAGGGTTATTGTCATTCAAATCCAAGAAAGGTTATCATTGTGATGAAATATGTTTTTTTTTTAACCAAGCATGTCTGAATGTACTCCAGGGGTCCATAGGGAAGGGTCATAGATGGACATTTTTAACTATTTAAATAATTTCTAACTTTGTAGCCCAATATATGTATTTTATATTGTAGTAATGTTAGCTTAAGTAGAAACTTTTTCCAATTCTCAGGGGATCCCCGGGTTGGCCCGAGAGTCTGGGTTGGTGTTCTGGGTTGAAAGCCAAACTTGTTTAACCTAGTTCATTCATTGATTTAATGTGTTTCCCTTTCGTTCCGATAGACTCGTTGTGTACTAAAGTCTACTAGAGCTCAGCGTTAGCTCACACTTTTCAGTACAGGGGGCAATGAAACCAGGGGTATCCCCCAACTGTTGTTTACAATCCCAACCCAGTCTGTGCACTGCCATTTAGATCAAAGCGTATCACCACAGTTGGGGAGCGACAGTCCTAAAAGTGTGGTTTAGTGTTTGCTTAGTGCAAGCCTGAAGTGTGTGTGCATGTTTAGATGTGAGCGGATGGCAATGCCTCTATCAGTGGCATCGCTGGGGTTTTTTCTATAAATAGGACTTGACTAGAGGTAATGATGTCATGGTAAGGTACCAGCTCTCCTAAAGGGGAATGAAGATTGCCCCCCCCCCCATAATTTTCCATGATTGCATGTGCTATGGTCACTAAAAACCTTCTACATAATCTAACAGGAGAATCTCCAACCCTTCAAAGATGACCTTTGCTAGATTATGAGTAACCCTTGGGGAAAAAAGCCAAAAGTTAGGCATCTCTGATATTGTGGATATCCACTTTGTGTTTGTTTGTACCTGAAATTTTTCAGTGATGTAGATAAGTCACAGTACTCACATCTAGAGTGTTAAAAACTGATTTGAAGGGACACTTCATTGTTTGGCTAATATTTATAGGTATCCTAATAGTTATTAAAAAATGAAAACCTGGTTGGTGAAAACCTGTAAGACTTTCTTTCATGGAACATAAAATAAGATATTGTGAAGAGTGTTTAAACTGTTTTTGTTTATACAATGAAACCTAAAGGAGTCCGAAACAACATTGGACCCTGTTGCAATGTATGGACAAAAAAAAACAACAGACATTTTTAGGAATAACTTCTTTTGTTATCCACAAAGGAAATAAAGTCATACAGGTTTGAAACTCCATTTGCAAATTATGACCGAATTCTGAATTAACTATCCGCAGTGGCATCGCTGGGGTTTTTTCTATAAATAGGACTTGACTAGAGGTAATGATGTCATGGTAAGGTACCAGCTCTCCTAAAGGGGAATGAAGATTGCCCCCCCCCCCATAATTTTCCATGATTGCATGTGCTATGGTCACTAAAAACCTTCTACATAATCTAACAGGAGAATCTCCAACCCTTCAAAGATGACCTTTGCTAGATTATGAGTAACCCTTGGGGAAAAAAGCCAAAAGTTAGGCATCTCTGATATTGTGGATATCCACTTTGTGTTTGTTTGTACCTGAAATTTTTCAGTGATGTAGATAAGTCACATTACTCACATCTAGAGTGTTAAAAACTGATTTGAAGGGACACTTCATTGTTTGGCTAATATTTATAGGTATCCTAATAGATATTAAAAAATGAAAACCTGGTTGGTGAAAACCTGTAAGACTTTCTTTCATGGAACATAAAATAAGATATTGTGAAGAGTGTTTAAACTGTTTTTGTTTATACAATGAAACCTAAAGGAGTCCGAAACAACATTGGACCCTGTTGCAATGTATGGACAAAAAAAAAAACAACAGACATTTTTAGGAATAACTTCTTTTGTTATCCACAAAGGAAATAAAGTCATACAGGTTTGAAACTCCATTTGTAAATTATGACCGAATTCTGAATTAACTATCCATTTAAGTACTTACTTATTAGTAATGTTACCCCAAAAGCCAATATGATGTACAAGTGCTTTTATATGTAGCCCAAATACCTGTAGTCTGCCTTCAGAACATCTTTGAATGGCGAATGTTGTTGAATGGAGCAGCAGTTATGGTAAATATAATCTAGCTTTGATTGCAAGACCACATGATCACCTTTCACCTGTAGATATGATGTTTGTGGCCATATGAGGTGATAAAAAAGGGGGAAATCACAGAGTATGAGGCATACCATTCAATCACAATGCTGATCTGTTGGGTTTCCCTGCCCTTTGGCTGCATTACTCATTTCTCAAGCTGCAGACAGCTGTGCAGCACTGTATGATTGCAGTAATAATCAACTCATGCATGCCCTGACTAGAACATGCCACAATCAGCCATCTCCATCTGTGTTTGTCTGCTGGACTGTGTCTGGTCGTGCACAGCTGTAGAGGGGCTTTAGTCCGAGTGGGCTCACGCTGGATCTGGTTTCTTGGGGATGTTATTTTCAGTGAGACTTCTCCATTCTTCTCCATTTAGTCTCTTATTGTCTTTCTTTGCTCATTTTCTCTAAGGCAGACCCTCCAGCTATTGTTTTAGTCTGCCATCGTGTGTCTGGCGAAGATGAAATTTAGAAGCGGCAGATGATTTAGAGCATGACGCATGGTTGAATGAGTCAGAGGAGTGCGTGTGTAAGCGTGTGTTTCTCCGTTCTGGGTCTCTGATGATGTAATTCGGCATGGTATTTAAACTCTACCCTGTACTTCCAATCTAATACTCTAGACCGTATGCCCCCTGACACGGTATCTTGGCCTCATTCTTATGAACTGTGAAGTCATGGCAAGAGGCAGCTCTCTCAGTGAGAGAGAAATGACTTCATTTGAACTTTTCACTCCCGAGATGTCGTCGTGGAGGAGGATGGATGGGCCTCAAACTAGAGGCTGAGTGAAGGGGTGAAAGAATGTACGATATCAAGAGTTTTCTTCCCAGGCGTTTGATAGAATGTGTATTTCTTCGTTTTCTGGTGCTGTAGGTCGACCAACAGCTGTCTATAGGCTACTGAAATTGACTGACTAAATTAATTTATTGTATTTTTGTAAACGTATTATTTTAGCTTTTTACCAAAAGTGCTTAAAAGTTTAGGAATTAGGAATAATTTTATGTTAGATTCTCTTTAAAGTACCAGTCCTATGAAAACACTTTTGTCTTTTGTAACACATTCCCTTAAAGTCATCTATGAAATAAAAAGTAATTTATTGCATTATATTTTAACTATTTAGTATATTTATTTGTAAAATTTCTGACAGTTACCCTATTGAATGGCTGTGCATGCATTTTATGGAAAACCCCCTTAGAACCAGGTCTGGGCTGTGTTTCATAAAAAACAGGGGTCTCCAAACTCGGTCCTGGAGGGTTGGTGTCTTGCAGAGTTTAGCTCCAACTTGCCTCAACACACCTGCCTGGAAGTTTCTAGAATGCCTAGTATGACCTTAATTAGCTGGTTCATGTGTGTTTAATTCGGGTTGGAGCTAAACTCTGCAGGGCACCAGCCCTCCAGGACCAAGTTTGGAGACCCCTGCCCAAAAGCATCGTGAGCCTAATTAGATTGTAGATACTGCTTGTGCCAATGTTTTCTACCATTTACTTGGCTTACTATGCCTTTGAGAAATTCCATCCTGAATGGGCCTCCTTAAAGCTGACTAGCTGACTAATCATTGAGACAACCCAACATTTAAAAATATGTAGTTTTGGACCTTTCAATTACGTCATGCCAAATAGTTAGAAGTTAAAGGAGTTTAAAATCCACTGGAGTGCCTCCATATTATTGTGGGTTTCAAAAAGTAGTGATTTGATTCATGTATGTTTCAGTGAAATCATAGTCGATGTGGTCCAAACTTCGTTGGAACAGCGGCAGCCAGCTGTCTAAAGACTGTTCTTTCTCTTAAAATTAAGAATTTGGTGTCAGGTATAAACTCTCTACCCTGCATGTTCTCTCTCATTCTCTCGCTCTCTAAATCTTTCTTTTTTTACAAGACATTCACTCCTGGCCTCGTCCACTTCCTGATAGTCTGGTCCCAAAGGGGCACATAGGTCTGAGGAGAACTTTGATTCATGTATGTTTCAGTGAAATCATAGTCGATGTGGTCCAAACTTCGTTGGAACAGCGGCAGCCAGCTGTCTAAAGACTGTTCTTTCTCTTAAAATTAAGAATTTGGTGTCAGGTATAAACTCTCTATCCTGCATGTTCTCTCTCATTCTCTCGCTCTCTAAATCTTTCTTTTTTTTACAAGACATTCACTCCTGGCCTCGTCCACTTCCTGATAGTCTGGTCCCAAAGGGGCACATAGGTCTGAGGAGAATAGTACTCCTTGTGCAGACCACCACAGAGAACTGCCCGAGGACAGAGTTCATGATCTTGGTGTCAGGGGGCTTTACAGCTGTATACATGGAAGACAAATTTATGGTTCTTGAATGTTGAGAGAAGAACAGTGCAGTTCCTATGTAAGGGCCTCATCCGGATGGTCTGGTATATAAACCGAATTAGTCCTAAAGAACTGTGGTTGTCCTACTTGGTAACTTGACTTTTGTTCTGAAAGTCTTTTGGGTGATTATTTCAACAAGTGTCTCCTTGTATGTTCTCATCAGAGACCCAAAATCTATTCTTGCTAACAAAAGGGTGATGTGTACCACATTCCACACTCTCTGTCTTTACTTTTGGATAAGAAGATGA